CCCCCCCCCCTCCCCTTCTCTCACCCCCGAAGAACGGAAATTTAAAGCAGTCTAGATATTCAATAATAATAATAATAATATTAATAATAATAATAATAATAATAATAATAACTTGGTGGAAAAGGATGGTGTGCCACATCCGGGAGGAGGGAGGAGATGGTGGATGGCGGAGGGAGGACGGAGGAGGTGGAAGTTGGCGGAGTGATGAGGTGGAAGATGGTAGATGGTGGAGGGAGGAGGGAGGAGAGGAAAGATGGCAGTGGAAAATGGCGGAGGGAGGAGGTGGAAGATGGTGAATGGCGGGGGGAGGAGGTGGAAGATGGTGGATGGCGGAGGGAGGAGGGAGGAAATGAAAGATGGTGGTGGAAAATGGCGGGGGGGGGGGGGGGGGGATGGAAAATGGCGGAGGGAGGAGGGAGGGGATGGTGGATGGCGGAGGGAGGGGATGGTGGATGGCGGAGGGAGGACGGAGGAGATGAAAGATGGTGGTGGAAAATGGCGGAGGGAGGAGGTGAAAGATGGTGGATGTCGGAGGGAGGAGGGAGGAAAAGATGGCAGTGGAAAATTGTGGAGGAGGAGGTGGAAGATGGTGAATGGCGGAGGGAGGAGGGAGGAGATGGTTGGTGGCAGTGGAAATGGCGGAGGGAGGAGATGGTTGGTGGCAGTGGAAATGGCGGAGGGAGGAGGGAGGGGATGGAAGATGCCGGAGGGAGGAGGGTGGAGATGAAAGATGGTGGTGGAAAATGGTGACGGTGGAGGTGGAAGATGGTGGATTGTGGAGGGAGGAGGGAGGAGATGAAAAATAGCGGTTGAAGGGAAGAGGAGGAAGATTGGGGAAGAAGATGATAGTGGGAGGTGGAGATGACGGAGGAAGAAGGGGGAGAAAGCGGAGTCTGTGCCACGTAAGCATGGCGGAGAGTGGAGGAAGAAGGTGGAAAATGGTGGAGGGAGGACGGAGGAGATGAAAGATGGCGGAGGTAGGAGGGAGAAGGAGGAAGATCGGGGCGAAAGATGATGGCGAGAGGTGGAAGGGATGGGCAAAGATGGGGGAGAAAGTGGCACGTGGCTGAAACAATGGATGCGAAAGAAAAGAAAACTCCAGATGACGTGGTGCGTGGTGGAGAGACGGGAAGGAGGTGGATGACATGGGAGATGGCGGAGGGAGGACGGAGAAGGGAGGAGGTTGTGGAGAAAGATGATGGCAGGAGGTGAAGGGGATGAAGGAAGTTGGGTTGACGTGGAGGCGGAGACGTTAAAAGTAGTGGAACATGGTGGGGACGAGGGAGAGGGCAAAATATAGCGGGAAGTGGAAGGAGGAGGTGGTCGATGGTGGAGGGAGGAGGGAAGACATTGAAGATGACGGAGGGAGGAGGGCGAAGGTGGAAGATTGAGGAGGAAGATAATGATGGGAGGTGTAGTGGGTGGAAGTTGGGATGACAGGAGGGGATCGGATGATGGCAGGAGGTGGAGGGGATGGACAATGGCGGAGAGGACGGCAAACACAGAAAGGAGAGTCGCCATGAAATATTTGGAACAAGGAAAAAAAAAAAAGGTGGGATGATGTGGGAGATGGCTTAGGGAGGAGGGGGGAGGTGGAAGTAGCATTGAAGGGTGGGGGTCTGTCTCTTATACACATCTAGATGTGTATAAGAGACAGGAGAGAGAGAGAGAGAGAGAGAGAGAGAGAGAGGCTGCTGGCCACCCACGAGCCCCGCTGCTGCTTTCTCATTGTCGGCTCCTGCGCCCTCCTCGCTGCCGTCTCGTCAGTGCCGTCCCCCTGCACCGCTGACAATCTCCCTCCACTCTCCCTCCACCCCTCCTCCACTGACCTCTACACCCGTCGTCTCCCTCTTCCTCCACAATGGCATGCAGGTAACGTCCCGTGAGGTCGGCAGCTTGTTGACGGGGCCGCTGAGATAACTTCAAAAGTCAAGTTTGAATTCGAAATTGGCCCATGCATGACCCAATAGAAGGCTGCCCAAAAGCAAAATTCCTGGCCTGGGCGGGGGCCAGAAAAAAAATTGCGTGGTGTTTCAGACAATTTTTTCCTTGGGGGGGGGGGAACCGGTAGTTTCGAATGGGCCTTTTTTTGGGGGGGGGGAAGGGGGTCTTATTTTCGTTGGTGCGGCGCGTCTGGTGCGCACGCACCCGGCACGCACCCTGCGCTGTGCCGCACGAGCACGGCCCTGCGCATCATGATGTGCCGCAGGTATGATTTAAACGCTTCTATTTTCCTCCATGTTGCTTGCTATAAAGGTAACTGATTCATTGTTGGTTTGTCTCAACTCAAGTGTTTCTGTTGTCTGCAATAGGACTAAAGCTGCTTCGATTTTCGATCTACTCATCTGGGTGGAATAGGGGCTGTTGAGGTGAAAATTCAAAACACACACCGAAGAAAAATGAACAGCAGTATACCGCCCCCTTTACTCTGCCTCTTTTCATAGCGTGCAAGTTTGCCGTTAAAGACACGGTAATGTGTGAAGCTGGCACTAAACCACAATCAACATGGCCAGCCTTGTGCGTGACAGGCACAGTAAAAGGGAGCCACAAAACAAAATCAAAGTCATGAACGGGATAAGACTTCAGCAGCATCATCATTAGCTCGTAGGTTTGTTCATTGCTCTGCCGTTTCTGCTCATTGCGTGGTGGTTCACAGTTACACAACGTGCTTGTGGTCTGAGTTTTCTTAGCATTGTTATCCAATCTTGAACTTATGCTTGTTCATTGCTGTGCTGTGTCTGATCATTGCTTGGTGACTTAGTCAATTGTGATTCATGAGTAGACAATTTGCTCATGGTTTAAGTTTCTTCTCGACAATATCCTTGCCCGCAATTCTGAACCTTAGAATGCATCTGTTTTGAGTTTCTTGCAGGATGTCCTTGAGATCAAGAGGAAGCTTACCCAAGTTCAGCAAGAAATGATAAACTTGCGTGCTCGTCAAGCTCAGATGGCGAAGGGATTATTGAAAGGATCTATTGCACCAGCACCGGTGTCGTCTAAAGGTTAGCTCAACATAGCTGCTAATTTCACATTCAACAGTCTGGTGTGACTTGTCTCATACCCGTGTTTTGTTAGTTAGTAGTACACAGTGCCAATTGTTTTCTGTCTTGAGCGTATTTTGGTTTCTACCTTTTGTTCAGCAAATGCTAATTAATCACATACTCAATTATGAAACTTACGGGATCGGTGGGTGGGAAGGAGGTGTGGATTCACGGTGGCTGATAGGTGGGAGAAATCAGTAACCTGGATGGTGCTACAGGAGGTTTGTGTTGAGGGATTTGGGCTCAGCAGCCTGGATGCACTACAGGAGGGTTTCTGTTGAGAAAGTTAGCTGTTTTGGTGGAGTGCCTAACTGAATGCAATTGTTGACCAAGTGCTTAACGGTAACCCCCACTTTCAGCTCCTGAGTAAACGGGTTCAACTGAAATTAGGGTTTGGGGGTCTTTTTTTTTTTTGTTTGTTTGTTTGCCTGGTTTTGTTTTGGCTCAAGGTTGATGTGTGGCAAATTAGGTCTCATTTGGAAATTTTAGAGCATTGGAAATAACTCCGCTGAGATTTCTAAAACTCTGACATATGTTGTAAGATAAGAAAGGGCATGCTACTTCTGCTTGGGGGGCTACACTAACCAGGGGTGTGTGAAGGGGTTCTGTAGGGGTGAAGTGGCAGGGCACCAAAAGGGATCATAGGAGTGGCAATTGGGCACAGAGGGGTCATGATTTGCCAGGGTTGTTTCAAGGGGGTCTTTGCACGTGAAGAGGTGCGTGAGCATGTCGGGACACGGGGGGGAGCGGGGGCATGAGGGGAGGATTGGGGGAAGAACAGGGGGGGAGGTGAGGAGGTTGGGGATTGGAGGTTGCTCCAATGGAATCATTAGGCGGTGTTTCTGGGTGGTTCAGGGACTGTGGGGAGTTAGGGTTTAAGTATCAGAACATATCCTTCTGTACGTCCAGAAATTAGTGAAGAAGTCCTAGAGTGAGTATGCCCTTACACATCCTTTTTGGGAGGTATGGACAACCGCATGGTGTGCCTAAAGAACCCTTTGGCCCTTCTCTGGTCTGTCATGCCAGAAGTTGCGTGTTCAAATCCCGTTTCTCCCTCGAGGTATGGCTGAGTGGCTGAAGGCATTGGTTTGCTAAATCAACATTCAGCAAGATTGTATCATGCCGTCAGGGGTGCAATTCACCTTTTTGCCCCTTCTCTCAGCACAGCCTTAGAAGCCACAGGGCTATCCTGTTTGGGATGATCTCTAAAGCCTGTCTGTTCTCACCTTTCGCTAGGGAGAAATGAAGTGTCTAGATATGGAAAGAGTAAATATGAGCTTCTGGATGAGAAGAGTTAGAAAAGAAGCACAACCAAGTGGTAAGCCAAAGGGAACATGCCGTGTGACTGTACCTCATGCCTGGAGGAACCAAATAGCTCGAGAAAGACCAAAAGAAGTGAGGGCACTGTTTGGGATGCATTTGAGTATGTCTTTTGGTGGGCATCCTATCCATTGCACCTACCCATCTATCTATTTGAGCTTCGATGGCAGTGTTGGATGAAGAAAGAGAAGGAGAAGAAGAAACAAACCATACTTGTAAAGATGATGATAATGATGATGGCGGCGACGATGAGGATGATGAAGACTGGCCCTGACCCCAGATAACTTGGCTGGCAGTGGCCTCAGTTCAATTGTGGAAGCCTTGTAGAGGACCTGCAGGTGCCTACCAGTGCGTGCCTACCGGTTCTACCATAGGCTTGCCAGATCAGAGGCCCGGCGAGCATTGGTGGTGCAACAGTCTATGGCATAATTTCGGCGGTTGTTGATTTTCCATGTCCGCGCTGTGTCCTTTTTGGAATTGCCATCTGCCCCCCCCAAAAAAGTTATATTCTGAGCACATGATGGGAGGGAAATCTGGGAAAGGGCAAAATAATGTTAACCAATAGTGTGACTCCTGTCTGCTAATCTCTGGTTTGGCCGTGTTTGTGGTGTGGATGGTTGTATCATCTTGCAGTTTTTCGATCTCAGACATCACTGGAGGATGTGGACTCACGGACGGTCTTTGTAAGCAATGTAAGAAGGAATCCTTATTTGACCCTACTCTATGCAAATTATGAGTGTTTTTTTGTTGACTATGTATCGTGCTGCCTCTCTGTCCCCCTGGTGAGTACCATTGAAGACGTTCATCCAGCTCCGTCTTCATGCAAATAGAACGTATGGTCATAATCGCGGTATCCAGACTGGAAGATGTCCCATATACAGCGGTAATGACCGTATTTTCAATTCAGGGGCGGATGGTAGTAGGACACATCCTTCGGGGGCGGATGGTAGTAGGACACATCCATGCAAAAGCGGTGTGCCTGAGTTTGTCTGTCAATGATTCGCATGCACCTTACGCAGGCTTGCTGCCCACTAAGATGTTTGTTGCAACTTGGAGGGGGAAAGGGGAGGGCGCTTGCCCTTCCTGATGTCGAATTCTGCTGTGCAATCCGGGATGTCTGGACCTCCACTGCACACATTGATTGGACCCAGCTGCATGGGCATCTGAGCGTCTACCTACGGAAGGCAGGGTGGAGAAAGGATAAAAATTTCAAAAATCAGTTTATGCAAGGTTGATCTACTATATCGTCCATGATCACTGTATCTTAACTACAACTGGCAAGCGAGCTCACTTTAATTATGCGTGCAGCAGAAACATTGCAAGTGCATACATACATGTTTCCAAGGTTGGCATATGTACGGGGGGGGGGGGGGGGGGGGGGGGGGNGAGAGAGAGAGAGAGAGAGAGAGAGAGAGAGAGAGAGGTCTGCAGGTGAGTGTGCTGTGTGTGACTGTGTGGATGGGCATGTGTGCGCACACCCATGCATGTCAGGAGTTCTGTGTGTCCGTATATTAATGCAGGAGCAATTCTGCACCTCCACCTTGTGCATTTATCATAGAGAGTGCAGATGTATCTGCATGTGTTTGTTCGCATGTTTATGTGAGAGAGAGTGTGTGGAGCGATGATGATATTTATGTGTACTGCATGCTTGCTCCGGATTCCCAATTCAGTGTGGTAGAAAGCCGACATATGAGGGAAGATTGTAGAAACCTGGTGTCCAGAGCATTGATGATGGATGATCCAGGGAGGTGAAGAGTGGAAGAATATGGATGCTAATGATGGATGATCCAGGGAGGTGAAGAGTGGAAGAATATGGATGCTATACAGCTGCAGACGGCAATGAGAACAGTTCAGAAACAGGAAGTGGGAGAGCATAGGCCACTTGCTTCGGTTTGGGTATGGTTTCAATACTACCACAAATGCGAAAAGTAATGACAAGAATAGCATGACGGGCTTAGCGGTCCTGCTACCAACCTGCTGCTACCATGAGCAAATGGGATATGGATGGTGAGAAGTTGAGAACACAATGAAAGTTACGTAGCAGGGTATTTGGCAAGTACCAGCTATGTGAATGAGCTTAGAAGAGAGTATGTAAGCTATCACGGGTGATGTGAATGAGCTTAGAAGGGAGTATGTAAGCTATGAAGTCGTGATCCACTGGGTACCATTGGGAGTCTCCCAGCTACAAGCGGTCGGTTTTGGGTGTTCGGTTGTGAGGGCTGCAAGGGGAAATGGAAGCTGGCTGGTGGTCTAGAGGCTGCGGTGCTCTGGCTTGGGGTCTTCTCTTTCTGTTCTATCTTCTCACTGTTGTATCTTCTTGCCGGTGATAAGCAACCGGACTGCTGTCCCCCAGAATACATCAGGCTTGAGTCTGTTCTGTTTAAGAAAGAAAAAGAGAAAACTCTGTAAAAATGAGGGTAGGAACGAAGAGTGAGTTTGTATGTAAGGGCAGACTCTAGGATGGAAGTGGGAGGGAGAATCGTGGTCAATGGTCGAAAGGGTTGTTTTGAATGTTTTCTTTATTTGTTTTCGATGGGGGGGTGGGGAGGAGAAGAGGAGAAAGGCAGCTGACATAAATTTTGTGGCAAAGAGAGGAACTGGACAATCTGAAATGACTCGAAGGAATGTTAGGAGCCCTCAAATCAGCTGAATTGAAGCTGGAGGGGTGCAAGGTTTTGGGGCGAAGAAGGGGACAGAACTAGGAAGGACAAGTTCAGGCTGCACCTGTAGGTGCATGGGGTGAAAGAAGTCTTCCAGAAGTTCTCCAAATTGGAACGATACAGAGAAGATTAACATGGTCCCTGTGCAAGAAAGGAAGGTGGAAATTTGCACTTTGTCTGGGACGGAAGTAGGTGTAGCGGGTTGAGGGGAACTCTGAAACCCCTTCCACCAGTTCCATCCCTATCCCATCACATTTGAATTGTTGTAGGGACGTCCACTCTATTGTGAGGGGCATTGCGCATTCTGTGTTGCAGTGCACTTCATAGAGTTTTTCTCTGTTGTGTCTTGTGTTCGCGGCAAGGATGTTTTTCCATTTTCGTTTCCCTTCTTTTTTTTCTGACAATACTGATGCTCTAATGAATGTTGATGTGCTGCACAGGTTCATTTTGGGGCTTCAAAAGAAGCACTGATGAATCATTTTCGTCAATGTGGACCAATTGCGAATGTGAGAATAGTTCTTGATTCTGCCACAGGGAAACCGAAAGGGTAAGTTGCCAGCACACCGCTACACCTTAGCACCACATACTGTACCAGGGAAAAAATCTAGCATGAAAATACTCTTCTTTTCTGTTTGTTACATATCTACGAGCTAGGTTACCAGCCAGGACTCGCAAGTTGCTTCTGATTGCCAGGATGGCTAAACCGGGACAGTGCTGGGCGAGGTCCAGGGCAAGGTCCTCGGAAGCCCCAGTGCAAAATTAAAAAGAAAATGAAAAACCCATGTGTCGAAAGGAGTACCTTTCCTTGGCCACAACATCTTTCGAAGTATGCGGTGGCAAGTTGGCAACCTTACGGCTCGAAGAGCAGACTCTTCGCGTCTGAATCCGATGAAGGCGCGAAAGCGCGTAAGAATTTGACTGTCTTTGTGGATAGCGCTAAATACATTAAAAGACTTCAAACCCAAGGTTTCCTCAAAGGGAATGAGCCACAAACATGTTTTGGATATATGCACTTTCCTCAAATCGCAAATCAAGGTATCATGGTGCCACCTTGAGGTGACTTCCTCCGGGGTCTCACAATCCATCTGACCTTCCAATGGACGAGTACTACGGGCAGCTCCTGAGGCCTGGCCTCCACCCTCTACTACACCCTGGGCCTTAAAAAAGAGGAAAAAAAAGGATGGCAAATCAAATGACTTTTGGATTAGGGACAATGTTGAAAATTGAAATTGCTTATAAAATAATAAAGGGAAAACTAGGGCACAGTCATGGTTTCAGTTTGAGAATGCGCTTCAGTGCTGGGTTAAGCCGACGTCCGGCTCAGACGGACCGGGCCAGACGAACGGGGGGGGGGTCCGTCCGGCAAAACCAGACGAGCCAAAAAACATCCCAGGAATTCTTTTTTTTTTTTTTTTTGAAGATGGGGT